TAAAAATGGAGTAGTACATCGTTCAAAAATAATATAACAGTACTATGTCATTGAATCCTGGTATTAAAGTGCAACTTGTAGGCGGTGTATACGGGCTAGGGGAGCATTTGCATGGAAGATCATGAATGTTGGAATTATTTTATACCAATTGGAATTAACTTTATACCAAAGACTTGCAACAAATTAATAATGAACTGGCGTTTGTTATTATTTGTTATCGCAAGTTGTGTGGTGTTAAAGACAAGCAAATTGTTGATTTGTCCTTGTTTACCTTCGGTTTCCAGTGAAAGGCATTAATTCTTTGGCTTTTTTTTCTTATAGTTGAAAAAAAACCAGCAGTTGTTAAACATAAACTGATTTTTTTTTCGGGGGGAGGGGATTTCAATGCAAATACGATTTCTGACCAATCACAACTACTTCTTCTACTTCTTCTTCTTCTATTTCTACTTCTTCTACTACTTCTACTACTTCTTCTTCCGCTTCTTCTACTTCTTCTGATTCTTTTTCTTTTTCTTTTACTTCTTCCGCTCCCACTTCTTCTTCTGCTTCCTCTTCCTATTTTTCAGCTTCTACTTATTCTCCTTCTCCTTCTCCTTGTTTTCTTCTTCTTCTACTTTTTTTTTTTTTTAGAGGGGGGTGGTTTCATTATGTATGCGTTGTCATTGCTATATTTAAACTCGGATGTACAATCATATGGTGCATTAGGAAGTTTGGGTTTTGATGGGGAACAAGAAGGGCAATAATCCGATGAGTTAATTTGAGTTAACAAAAATGATTCCGTGACACTTTCTCGGACTCCAGTTTGGCATCATCCAAATCACGATTTTCAAGGTTCTTGTAATTGTCTAGGTTCTCATCATATCCGGTTGTTCATGTCACGAGCACGAACGACAACAACACGCTCACAGACCATTGCATGCATGCGCCCTTCAGGAGTTTTCTACCTAGCCCGAGCCGAACGTTTTTCACACGACGATAGGCCTATCAAATCCAATAAGTCAACATGAAGATCTTCGGCTGTGGCTCTATCAACATTAAAAGGCTGAACGATCGCAGTAAGTCGGCGGGAAGATTTGGACTATATGGCTCTCTGCACATGCAATGCTAAAAGATGACTATTAGATTTGAGCCCGTGGTTGATGTTCACGCTATCTAAAACCAGACTGGATCTGTGCTGATCTTTTTAAAGGGAAATAAAACTAGCCGTTTAAAGTAGTCGTATCCTATAGCTGAAATTCTTCAGTGGGTGTTGATTGCGTAGAAAGAAAAGAAAACTTAAACATTTGAAACAAATCAGTTTGGTAGTTGTAGCGGTAATGCATAATAACATTGTTGTTTACAAGTCATGCTGAACTAAAACAATTCATTATATTCAAGCCTTTCAACCGAGACCATCCGTGCATTTTAATCGTGGTTTTAATGAGATGAGTTAACCGAGTCCGGTTCATTAGTTAGGTGCGTATCGTTGATTGGGTCCTTAATTAGTTTACGCAGGAGCCAATTAGGGGTGTGCCCATACCTCGTTACTAAAATTTACATTTTGAAAGAATTTGGACGGGGAATTTAGAATGCATGGAGTTCCAGTTCGCGCAGTGAATCGGCCTGGTCTGCCTGTTAATCATACAGCATTGAATAATTAACAGATTGTCTCCGATTCCGACTTCCACAGTGATGTACTATGTATCCACTTTAAATGTAAGATGCACGGACCTGACTGTTTGAACGGCTGAAGCAATTTGGTTGAGCAAACTCTAAATTCATACCCGCATAGTGCTGTTGGGCTTGTGAGTGTTGTTGGGCATGTGTCGTTGTATCGCGAATGTCTCGGGCACAGTGTGTTATCATTCCCTATTTCGGAATCGAACTGCTTACACCTGAGGATAAATTACTTGGCGGGGTGTAATGTTAGAGGGTGAATGCTCTATGTTCAGACACCCCTATGCACCAACACCCCTATGTACCGACACCCATATGTTCTACACCCCTATCTTCCGATTACTCAACCTATGTTCCGACACCCTTATGTTCGACAACCTGCTCTTATGTTTGTGTTACTCCCGGCGAGGGGTAGGGTTAGGTTTAGGGTTAGGGATTGCGGTTAGGGTTAGGGATAGGGATAGGGTAGGGATAAGAATATGTGCAGTCGGAACATATATTTGGTGTCGGAAAATAGGGGTGTCGGAAAATAGGGGTGTCGGACATAGGAATGTCGGAACACAGGTTGAGTTGTTGTCGAAACATATGGGTGTCGGAACCTAGAGGTGTAACCATTCGAGACTGTCTTAAACACTGGGGGTGGGACAGTCCCGACTATTTTTGTTCTCGATGCACCGTCCACCTTTCCTATGATGAATGCAACAGCAACATTAAAGATGAACTGTTCGTGCAGTTGTTTGAATTTCGCCCCTGAAAATAGACTTCCTCAATAATTTCTATGTTTTTCTGGCAGAACAAAATTTCTAAATTTTTGAATGAAACAACGAATGAAAAGTAATGATACCTACATATTTCGAATTGCTTGCAGCCTGACAATAATTTAGATTTCGCTGGGTAGACGGGTACCTGCCTCCCTATCAGATTCGATAATGTAAGGGCCGGGAATCAGTCTACTCGCTGGTGGATATGTTCGTGGGCGCAGGCAACGCCGATTATTGCCCATTTTCATGCAGACCCAATGTGTAGTTGTTTTGTTGTTAAAATGAAACAGACAACTTGAGCAATCGTCTGGAGGAATTTGTCGAAGAGCATAGGCAGAACATCTTTAATTTGTACACCTGCGAATATGTACTTGTCACGTGAGATGTTCTGACCCGTAAAGCTACAATCAAAAGGCTTCGCATAATTCCAAGTAAGGGCAGCCGATACACAAATAAGCTGGACCAAACAGGCACAAGCTTTCTACATAGTTTGTGATCGATATATACCTCTCTTAACATATGAGTTTTTGTCTCCTCATTTGTTTACAGTATCACAGTCCTGACAGTTTTCTCCGTGGAATGGGCAGTTTTCTCCGTGGAATTACCCCACACCATTACTTATTGATGGGATGGAAATTGAACAAGCCTACGCAATTATTTCTCTGTAAAATTTAAATTGCTGGAACACCAGTGGGGTGGAAAACAAGTGTTCGCGGGGCTTCTCTGGAGAAGGGACAGCTCGATTCGCTGTGGCGCAGATCAGGTCTCGTGGAGTTGCCATTTTTTTTTCTTTTTCGGCGAAGCGTGTGGCATAAATATTGGATTTAAGTCAAGTGACTTGGAAAGCCGCTCACTGACATTCCCAACGTCTGAGCGCGCACTGGCCCCGGGGGTTTCACATGCATCGAGCTTCACACCTCGCCGAGACAAGCCAATACATATTTTTGTTTTGGAACTGCCAGATTTATTTTGGGTTGAAACAACAATCGATCATGTTTGTGCGCTGCTTATTCCACTTCCCGGCCGGCCCCTTATGTTTACTGATCAATTAATGGCCAGGGCAGAGTGTTCAATATTAATAACGAACCGATGCACGCGTTTGCCTCATTGCCATTTTGTTTCTTCTATAATGTATATGGACTCTTTCGTAGCTTAAAGTGACCGTCCATGATTCCCAAATTCCAATATTGTAAAAATTGAACATTTTCTGAGAGTCCACGCTTATAAAATGACCAATCACAATCCTAGTAAACTGCTTTTCGGTGCATGTATTAGCTGAGTAAGGTATTTTCATTATTTCAACGATATTTTATCTTAGAACCAGCCTATGTCCTTTCTCTGTGGTTTTTCTATGAAAAGGCTAATTTCGACGATATCTTATAGTTGCCTCAGTGTATCATTCCAACATAATTTATCTGAGAAACAAGGTTACTGTAGCGCGGAGAATCATATCGGAATCTCAGAAAGACATCTTAGAGCATCGAATTTCCCCATTGCACGATTTATCTCGATAACGCGGAAATATGGTCACTTTACAAATCATTGTATAATCGAAATACGGAATTAACCGAATAATCGGAATTCTTTCTTTCAAAATTGAACCCTTGAACTTTTTAACTTCCATCCTTTCGATGGGTAGATTCAAACCTTTGGATGTATTTTTGGGGGTACTCTTCTACAAATAGGGATGTCCGAGTTACAATGCATCAGAAATGTAGAGCTATCTCATCAATGAGTAAAGTGCCATCACCCGTGAGAGTGACATATTTCACATCCTGAACTGTCGAGGCGAGGCCAAGAGATGCATTAGTACGGCTACATGCCATGTGACATTCAATCCACGCGACCGTGTAGATCCGATCAAGGACTAGGGGGTATCGCGGCGCACTTCCCCAGGCCGAGGGTGTTAACGCGTGGCTCGATCATGATGACCGAAGCGTATACATAATATCCCTCCGAGTCTTCCCAATTGACACTGAAACAGTGCAATGGCGTGACTATAGGGTCCAGTTCCCATGGGTCATTCAAGGGTTTTAAGGATTGAAGGCTAGACTCATGCTTTCCCCAAACTTTGGACTGGTAGGGGGAGGGGACAAGGGGCAGGGCAGAGGCCTCGAGAGATCCCCTCCCTCAATGGCGCCCCGTTAGTGGGGCAGATAGGGGATATTTGGGGGGATTGTACCTTTGTATGCATGGAAGTTGGCACACAGTTAGAGTATGTCTTATTAAAGATATTTGGCTATAGGGCCATCACAGACTTGTCCTTTGAAAACAATATAGGTAGAATAACCAGCAATTTTTCAATATTTTCAAAATGGCTGTAATTGCTTGTTATTCTACCAATATGTTTTAAAAGGACAAATCTGCGATGGCTCTATAGCCAATATCTTTCACATGACATACTCAGACTGTATGCCAAATGCCATGCTTGTATCATCAAAGGCACAATCCCATCACCTATCTGCCGTACTAGAGTTGAGGGTGGGTGTTGTAATGGGGAAGGGCGTTGTACTTTTCCAATATCCTGGAAAGTATTTTAATATGTAATGAGTTGAATTCCGATCTTTCCTTTTTTTTCGCTAGAATTCAGACAAGCCTTCTCAATATTCGACAAAGATGGCGACGGGACCATCACACACAAGGAGCTGGCTACTGTCATGAGGTCGCTGGGTCAGAACCCCTCCGAGGCAGAGCTGCAAGACATGATCAACGAGGCTGATCAAGATGGTATATATATACTGTCTTTTCTATATAGTGGCAGATTGTATAAAAAGAAAAGAGTGTCATCGCTTTTGACATCATTACTTCCCCTGATAACTTATTAGAGTGTTTATTATTCATGTACCGTCTTAACTCCGCAGGGGGAACTTGAAGGGGGGGGGGGGGTTGTTGGAGCAAACGCCATCCGTCAACAATCATCTTGGCGCCCTTGGCCTTTAGTAATTTCTAACAATTATCAACACCTGTTTCACAGTTGACCAGTTTCAGCCGACATTCGTGATGGTTGTCATTTTAATAAACGACCGTTGAAATTTACTCAAACACTGCATAGTTTAACAGAAATAACTGGGGAAAAAATATGTCTGTTGTAAAGATGAAGTCGTTTGCATGTTTCGAATTATTTGTGACCCGGCAGGAATTCAAATCTCGTAGGGCATGGTTCCCGCTCGCTATCAGAATCGAAAATGTACGGACGGGAACTACTGTTGTGGGTTTGTTTGAGCGTAAATGCAGACCAACTAAAAAAGCCTTTTTCAGAATGTTGCTGTCACCGAAAATGAAGTAGTCTTTCCCCCTTTAAAATAAAGCTTAGACCTACACGCTGCAAACCTGTTAAAAGAAAAGATAATTTCTTTGATAAGCACGGACAATACATCTTTAAAGTTCTCAATGAGGTACTCTACATAAACTGTCGTCTACTCTACACTTGAATGTCTAGTGTGAGTTTTAATCTTTTTTTTCTTCCCCGAGAGTATAGTGGAATTAATAAATGGCCAAAGGTGTACGGTACTATTCCATATGTCTTATTGTCTGTAAGTCAGCAGCATTACTCTATATATTAGTGGGGCAGATAATGAAAATATTTGGGGATTGTGCCATTGATGATACAAGCATGGAACTTGGCAGACAGAGTATGTCATGCGAAAGATATTTGGCTAAAGGGCCATAGCAGATTTGTAATTTGAAAATATATAGGTAATATAATGGCTACCGTTGCATTTTATTCTACCTATTATATGTTTCAAAGGACAAATCTGTGATGGCCCTATAGCCAAATATCGTTCTCATGACATACTGTGACTGTGTGCCAAAATCCATCAACGGCACAATCCCATCACCAATTTGCCGAACTATATCATTTCCCTATAAATAACTTAAGAACCATGTGCTATTTATTACCACGAGAACCAATTATTGCTTGTAATGATGCATGGGCTGGATCAGTTCAGTATTTTCAAACAAGATAAATACAGCACACCTAACGGCACCTGCTCTGCAGTATCACTTCATACGTCAGCTCACGGTAGGAATCAGAGAGAAGCTCGGCATTACTGAAACAAAACATACATTTTAAAAACATCTATGATGCTTGTAGCAAATCGGGCATTTCGAATCTCAAAATGAGGCCAAGTTATACCATCCAAACCAGGTTTATAGACTTCTTGATCTTCTTAACCACGGAGTCCGATTGTTTGTCATCTAAAGACTATCTGTCCGTCAAATTGCTTTCAACTCGCACGTATGCATCATTGTAATAATCTCCAAGAGTGCCTCATTAACCCATTATTCTCGAATAGCATCCCACTATCTGAATTACCGAATGTCTCTTTTTCCTCCTTAAAAAAAAAGGATCGAATGTATAAACATTAATTTAATATCCCATTCCTTTTGTTCACCATTTCACCACGTGCTGGCTATAAGAAGCCATAAACACGGGCCCCAAATTTAATCATGATAATACTTCCCCAGTCAACAATGCCCACAGCCACATCATTCCACCGCATCCATTGTTCCGGGACCTATTTGTGTCTCTCATTTCCCCACTGAGTGAAGCCCCAATACGTACATGAGTAGATTCAATCTATAGCTCTCACACCCTCAAACTCCCCAGCATTATCATTTATTAATGCACGCATCAGATTCCAAACACGCTTGATTTAGCCTCGCCGTCCACATGCTGGGATTCCTCTTCGTTGGAATTAGTTCCCCTTGACCAAACAGAAATGCATTTTACACAAACAGACATTATAGTCAAAAAGTCACCGTTTATGTTTTTTGGCAAGACTAAAAATTGGGATACTAAACTGACATTGTATTCATTACTATTCAAACATGCTATTCAAAGATTTTTGTTTCCGTGTTTTTCTTTTAATTAAATTGGGTCTGGATTGTACTTATTTAGCAATCGCGTAAGTTCGTTGATAAATCTACGTGAAAACAAATGTTTAACACGGGCTTGCAATGGCAAATCTGCTCTTGACACTCCGCTGAGATACACTATTTTCATTTCATGTGGTTGACGTGGTTGTAGCATTTTACTTCATCTTCATCCTGATTCCGTTCACGTCTGCACATCTCTCCTTTCGCAATGTGTGGCCATGTTTATTTTGCTGTGCCCGTACAGAGAAAAACACTTTTACGCCATGCAGCCGGTTGTATCTAAAAATAGCCATCGTCGACTGCAAGCCCACGGGAGAAGATAGCGAAACACTCAAAAATACTCCCCTGTGCATTAATTATCTGTTTTCTTCAGGAAGTGGCTTATGTTTAGTGGTAATCCCTGATATCGTATCAATGTGTAAGGTTTGAAAGACACAGTGCCCTCTCGCGGGTCCAACCGTGGAGTGACAGGCTGGAAGACAATGAGTTTATTTTATGCAAATTTCAAAGCTTTATTTGCCGTTCCAACGTATAGCTTACATGCCACAAAAACGGCAGACACAACGAAGGTAGAAAAAATTACATTATGAAAGATCACTCATATTTTTCCCCTTCTGCTTCGGTACGTAGTGCTTAACATGTATTTAGAGTAAAAATGTATCTTGATCAAACTCTGTGTTAAACTCGTCTTTGTTTCTAAAAATAGCCACCGTCGACTGTAAGCCCATGTGCCTTATTTATGAGTCGGCCATATTGAATTAAAAGTGAGGTAAAATCTTAATTTTTGGAAGTTGAGAAGAGAAATGAAAGTAAGTTAATTCCTAATTAATGCCAGTCTGCTTCAATGAATAATTTAAATTCGTAGTTAAAAATTCCTTCATGTTTAAAGCCAGTAAAAAAAGACAGTAAAATAAGGCTGTATTGTGCCTGCATAAATAGTCTTGCGCCATCCATACGTTCAGGGAACTCGACTAAAATGGGCAACTCGTGAATAGGGCCCATGTCGACTGCTCTAAACGTCTCCTGACGACAGTCAGAGCATACTGGCCGGAACGTCGAGTTTATACCTCTGGTTCTTTTCAGAACCATTCTCTTGGTTTGAGAAATTATTCGCACATGGTGTTTCCGCAGACCTTCATTCATTAGTATTACTCGTCTTTGCTTTAAAGGGCCCATGCAATATTTTTTTCTTAGGAACACATTTTGTACAACTCTATACTCCTCTTAAACTTATGAAAACTATTTGACATCTTTTGTGGGTTAATTTTATTGATAAGGGCTATTCTTTAAACATTTAAAAAAATGTCCCAGGCTTTTTCGGACAACTGAGGGCTCTGTTGCTGTGATTTCAAGAAGACACTGTTCAGTTTGAATTGTGAACCCAAAATTTACACATTGAAAACATTTGTCAGAAAGGTTTGCTTATCGTTGTACTGCCATGTACTGACACAACAACGAGCCACCAAAGAAAAGAAAATTTAAGACAGCAAAAATCCATAATTCTAGCAACTTTTTGTGCTGAAATAGCTGTAAAATTGAGGTTTCTGCCCAAATCACATTAGAGTTTTGCTCGTGAATATGTAAATTCGCATTAGTATAAAAACAAGAAAGGCACCAATATACTCTCGAAAAAAAGCAAAACGAAAATTAGGTACAAAGTAACACAAAGGTGCATTTTCAAGGATTGCATTAAAATAATTACATTGCATGGGCCCTTTAACCCTATCAGGACCGGGGTATTTGATTGCCCCGCGGTGACCACAAGAGGGCGCTTTACTATACATATTGCCTACATTGCGTAAAACAATATATATTCTTGTGGGCATACCTTCTACGTTTTCATTCAAATGCCTTCAAATATTGTTCAAATAGTATTTGGATCAATATCTATCTAATCAATCAACCGTTGGCAATCAAATTCACCGCTATAATAGTTAGCGCTATATACCAACCGGTTAGTACAAAAATCTAACATGTTCGTGATTTGTCCCAAAATTTGAAGTTGTTCCACCAAAATCGCCGCAAATGAAGTAATTATGGTACGTTTATAACTTCTTAGCTTTTTTATCATGCAAACAGATGTCAAATGTACCCTAAAGCAAAGTAAATTGTGCAAAAAGGGTGACAAATTAAATGCTTTTCGCATCAATGGCAGCCATTTTGGATTCACGTGACTATGAGTTATAGTCTAAAGCGTGCAGATACTTGACAGGTTCGGGCAAACAAAGCAAGACCTGATAGGGTTTACAGGAGGTCAGGGTGCTATTCGTCAATAAAATCCACTGGCATAGGTTTGACTGCAAGTTTGACTCCAACTTTTTTCTGAATCCCTTTACATAAACATTTTTATGTGGCCACCCACATTTTGTTATGCACTTTGTTTCCGGCAACGAGACAAAACTCCAGCACATAACATGCACAAACGAACTTTGCCAATCGCTGTCACATGGCATGTGATGGAGCAACCGGCTGACACCGACAGACACCGCTAAATGATCGGTTAAATGTCAATTTGTTGCTTGGGTTATGGGCAAGGAACCTCAATACATAGACCGTGCTTTAGTCAGAGTCTTTACCACTCATGGCTCGTGCAGAACAGATTGATCCGTTTGGACAGTTTGATTCTGGCGGTGATTTCGGGGAGCTTTTCATGGTTTTCAGGTAAATTAGATAAAGTATACGTTAATGCTATGATCCTGTTTGGCTTGTGATGTTGGCCGAACGTTGTCGTGTGCGTGCATCCTTATGTGAGACCGATATCGATGCAGTGGCAACAGTGTTGTGGAATTGAAGGGAAAGAAGTATCGACTAAAACGTTCATCTAAAGCCTGGGTATAGTGGGAACGACGACGATCCGTTTTTCTTGAATCTACAGGTTTTTTTTAGTGAATAGGATCGAGGCTGAAAGTTTTCAGTGCCGTAAATCGATAGCAAAAGTACGGTGGCTCTGAAGGGGCAGATTATTCAAGTATGTGACCTTGCCTTTGGGGCCACCATGAAAACAATTTATTGAGTAGTATTTTGAGTGAGTGGTAAAATTTGGGTCGTTACGTTTGTAACGCTAAAGACACATACTTTTTTTTCTGGGGACATGTTTGGATTTTTGTCAGCTCAAACCGTCCTGCAATTATTTAAACATGACCAGACAAGCCTATAGTAAAGCTCACCCCGAGGCACACGGAATTCATTTCAATTGAATCAGAATGGCTATTCCAGTCTTTTCATGCATCTGGCCTGACCATTCATTTGGGCCTTTCGGGTTGACACAACTAGCAGTCACTGTCAGTCAGTAACAGTCAGTCAGTAATAGATATGTACAAAGAGAATACAAGGCTAGCCCTCTCGGATCAGAAAAATAAACCTACCCATCAGCCGTCGGTGCTTTACTTCCAGTAAACCCGTAAAAATGTTTAAGCGGCTTTGCAGCGCTTGATGGAATTAATACTGATATTGAGATGTGCGCGAAAATGGAGCGACCACATCTCGTGGGACTGATATTCGTTCATCATACGTTGGTTTCGCTTCGAGTATAAATAATCACTCAGAACATTTTAATTTTAGTCCAAGAACGAATTCAATTCCACAATTTCAAGTAAGGAGTTTGGCCTATTTATTACAGTTCCCCAGGGTACTTAAAATTGTTTGTTCTCTCTTGATTGTTACGGTCTTTATTAAAACCTTAACTATTATTTTATCTTGTGTTATGTTAAGAAAATATTGATTATAATTCGAGCATTTTCTTCCTGCTTCCCCAGGAAACGGGACGATAGACTTTACGGAGTTTGTCAGCATGATGGGACAGAAGATGAAGGAACTGGACACGGAAGAGGAAATTCGGGAAGCCTTCAGAGTATTCGACAAGGACGGCAACGGCTTTATCAGGTGGGAGGTCCGATTAAGAAAAGGGGGGAAATCTTGTGGAGTGCCTTCTCAAATAAGAAGAAGGATGGGAAGTTGGGTAGGGACTTGGAGAACTGGTACTAGCATCAGTGTTATCGGAGGGCAGTGCGTTTTAACAAGGTAGATTTGTTCAAAAAACTAAAACTATATCAGGAGTATTCTATTCACGCAAACAGGATGCTTGTCCAAAGCAGGTCATAAATGTCGACACCCATGCAAGTTCCAGTGAGGCACATGACCTTGGTAAACTACCTTGCCCAAGGACACAGCGCCTCGGCAGCAAAATCTCGAACGTTAAACTCAGTAGTCATGTTCTCTAAACAGGTATTAGCATTAAGAACTGGGTATTAAAGTCAATGACTTGAATAGGATCCGCAAGGCAGTTTCAGGATTTTAACGCGAAGTAAGGGTGAATTGAAAATCTGTAAAAGAATCTCAGAAATTGACATATAAAAAATATACGAAGCGTCAACTAATCACCGGCACTGCTAACGTCACAGATTTGCTTTACATTGTCATTTTCGTGGCGTATACACCTAGGCTACGTTTCATCGTACACGAAACATCGCTCTACGCTCAGGCTGATGTCCTTTACATCTGGTTGGAAGACGCCATAACGAGCACTCTACCACCGGAATCACTAGCCCACTGCAGACATATGGCCGCGGATCGATGTTTGCTTGTACCATTCAAGCGTCGAGTCGACCGGCTAACGCAGCGATCGATCCGGTATCATGGGACTAATTTCCCCTCTCCACGCCGGGGAAGAATGGATTTCAATTTGGTAACGTAACACAGCACAAACCCAGAATACGGAGATTGGAGACATGTTTTGTTGAGGTGATGATGATGATCGCTGCATATCCAACCAAGCAGAGCCCGGCTATGCATTATCGGGTTTTTGGACCGATCCCTCCGTCCATAAACAGCAGATGTTGCTATATTCATGTGACAATTTATATTCCCGGTATTGATCGGATCGAGCTGGGTAACGCATTAAGGATGCGACGGTTCACCCTAAGTCAAACCACTTAGCCTGCTTGTGACCTGCACACAACAAGCCGGCATGAGCGCTAAGTAAACCCAACTACCAATGGTTAACCAATTCCCCTAAATCAGTGCTCGTGGTCGACCTTTTCTTGTTTCTTGAGTGCTGAGCAAACTGATACATTCTGCCGCCGTTTGCTATAGCGTGCGCAACCACGGAACGCCAAAAGAGCTTCGTCCCTTAAGACTCACGGGCTCCTTAAATCCCGCTGGTTAGATCAAAGCCTCTTTTTCCAGCTGAAAATTCTCCGCGAGGGACTTGGGACATAAAATGCTTAGTCCGAGAATTATTCATCCGCCCGAGGACTTTTTGCCAGACCTAAGAAGGAAGAAGAAAAAAGGACAAGATCGACCTGCTATGGCATCTGTGTATCAGTATCCCACAGCGGCCCTGTAGGCCTAAGGCAGCTCCAGGGAACGAGGGAAAGCGATTATGGTACCTGAGCTCTACATAGCCTCTGGGTCCATCGATTGTACTGACCGTCCCGTATTATACCCTGAATGCCGAATATACCCCTATAACCTAGCTATGAGTACTGTACCTAGCATGCATGCCTAGCACCATGGTCGTTCTAGCTGTTTCGGGGAACGACTTGCACCGAGATGAAATAGTCTAAATGTCAGCAATTAAGCTCGAGGGTGCTGTGGCCAAACTCGTTCCCTGAGCTCGTCCCCAGGATAATCTCCCATCGTGCTTTGTCAGTATTAAAACCTAGAGGCAATTGCATTGAAAGATCCCCGTGCTTTTGAGTAAAGCCTCATGTTTTATGCTTTGGTGGCACAATGAAACAATTAAAGCATGTAGATGCATGATCAAAGCTTTGGCAACTAGGTGCAAAACGGCGATGGACCAATTTACTTCGGCTTGGATATGGTTTGCGCGGCATGTCTTTTTAAAGGCTCCCAAACGTTGTAATCAAGGAACATTCTGGATCTAGTTCATCATGTATATTTGTTATGGTTCGCTGGTAAGCCTTGTAGGACTGAATGCATAACATATACATTAAGTAGTATAAGGCTTACCAGCGAATCAAAAGAAAAATGCTGCCAAACTGTTCCCTAATTTTATACCATAAGAAAAATGCATTTGCAGGGTACCAGGCATAATGACCGTTTGCCGTTTTCGACCTGTCTTTTTGTATTATGCAGCAGGCTTCTGCCCTCTTGCGATCACAGATCTCATAATGATATTACCGTGGAATCAATGTTTCAGTGAGATGCAGATTCTGCCCGTTGTGGGCCAACGATCAAATCATAATCTTGTTACTGTACAAACTGTGTGCGATGCCACCTCCCTCGGGGGTCGTGGTTGACCGGATTCTAGTGAAAGGAGCAACTGCAGTGCGTTATCAGTTTTATACATATATAGGCCTAAACCAAAAAGCAAGTGCGAGTGCATAATAAGCTCTGGCCGCGGCCATGAAATGATTGTGCGTACAAGCGCGGACCGCTGTCCCACGCATGGTTCCACGCGAAAATCACGCGCTGAAAATTGACCACAATTGAACAAAGCATCCTAACTTTCCCATAACTATAGCGCGTTATATACAACGTGACTATAACATTATTGCACATTTATGTTGCCTCTATTTACAAAATTTTCATAAACAACTTTATGAATTGTTACAAACAATTTTGTCAAGCGTTTCATTTCTTTGTTTTTTTTCTTGAAATTTAAAATTGGTGGTTATATTTTAGAGGGTCGTTTTTGGTCAATTTTCCTGGGACAGACATAATTATGCAAAATAAACGCGCATGCGCATCGATCGAGGCAAAGCCCGTTTTCCGATAATTTTCTTCACGGATGCACTTACTGACGACGGCATAGCATTTAGTAAACTTTTGTTCAAATATTTTGGTCAATTTTCGGGGACATACAGACAGACCGACCGACCGACCACCGAGTCACATGTAGAAACTCCTTCCAGAACTTAAAAAAGCCGCATCCATGAAGAGCTATTCTCGATTGTTTTGAAGTGGAAATTGAGTTATCAATGTTCATGTTTCTTCCGTTGCTTTAAAAAAGCAACAAGACCCTTTGATTTGTAAAATGTATGGCGTCAAAGCTGAAATTCTTAAACAAGATTCTCTTGTGATTTTCCATCTGTTGTGAATGTCAACATTCACTTTGCGTTTGAACACAGGAACAAGCAATGAGGGAAATTGTATATCTCTGTTTTCTAGACTTCCAGAAACCATGCACCACACCTCAGTCTGTCAATATCGCCTACGTACTTTTGAATGGGAGAAAAGTAAAACAAAAACGTCTCAGTAAGACCTGTGTACAACAATAATTGCGCAATAATGTTTATTTTGGCATGGAATTGAAATCAAAGAGAAATGTATTGGGCGCTGTACAGGGTGGTACAAAAAGAAGGAAACCCACTTTTGACAGCAATTGTCACCTACTTGTAGAGCATTTTTCAAAAATTCAATCGAACACTATTAAAATATTGATCTTTAAACATAAGTGGCGAAAAAAAATGATTGCAAATGACTATTTTGTCTCTGATATATGGTAGTTTAAAAAGTGCATGTGCCAAACCTGTTTGTCCATGGACGGCTTTATTCCATCCGCTTGACTGAGCTCCGGAGCTTGATTTGAAGACAAAAAAACAGTACAGTCAAGTGGACAACAGCGATTTTGATGACTTGTATTCAAATTAGCATAATAACACTATTCTTGCGATTTTTTTCAAAGATTTTCTTTCACCACGTATGGTTGAAGAGCTATACTTCACTACATCCAAATAAGTTAAGTAAGTAAAAGTGGGTTTCCTTCTTTTTGCACCACTCTGTATGTTGTTTATTGGTACTGAACGCAGCAGTGGACTGCACGCTGTAATTCACTCAGCTTCCAACTCACCGCCTTTTTCTTTTGCTCTACAGCTCTATTCTTACTTAAAAATAACGGAACACAGTCAAGCCTTTGATAGGATCTGGCAAATCTTCTTGGCAGCTCATGCATGCGTGGTTTCTCTGACTTATTTTCCTCTCTCCATTTTTTCTTCTTCTTCTGATCTGTAGTGCAGCAGAGCTCCGTCACGTGATGCTGAGTTTGGATGATAAGGTTGACAAGCATGAGGTGGAAGAGATGATACGGGATGCGGATGTGGACGGGGATGGGCAAGTCAATTATGAGGGTAGGTATCACCGGGCAACGCTCGCACTCCCCCTCACCCTCCCCCGTGTCTGTTCAGCCACAGGCAAACCTCATCTTCTGGTTGTCGCATGCGTTGAATTCACGAGTACGAGTATTGCTTCGTGAATCGATAGTATTGATAACTTGGATTAACGTTTTACCCCAAGGTAAAAGAGGCACTGAGTTCTTTTGGTGAATCAGATTTTTGTGTTATAAAACCAGTTTCTGAACTACGAAAATATTGATTGAAGTATTGTACTTGCACTTTCACAGTAAGAGTATATCCTTATTAACACATGCACCTTTTCAAATATCAACTCGAAACGGATTTGCAATTATAGGTAACGTTTAGTAGCTGATTCTCGATTTTCACATTCGACGAAAGAAGGCTTTAAATTTAAAAAAAAATTATACCTAAGACGTAAGAAATAAGATTGAATAATCCTTTACTCCTCGAAACAACTTTTCCCTATATCTTCTTGTTCTGTTTTTCTACCGATTGGAATCTATACATTTTAAGCTAAAATAAGCCTTTTTCCCATGCAATTCCTTACAGAATTCGTCGCCATGATGAACTCGGACAAATAAAGGGAATTTTGGATAAGCGACATCGAACCACTTGTGCCTCCAAAACGTTTTCAGATGTTCTTCTGTACAAGACGGTTATCCTAATCACACACGGATTTTTTTCAATGATGGCATGTGTTATTTTCGGTTTAAAGATTGGGTAAACTGATATTGCAATCAGTGGTGTATTCAGTATATTCGTAGATTTTCTCTTTTATAATGAAAGCGCCACCACTGGACAATATGCACTTGCATTGTCCCCTCCACTGACGAAAACATATCTTTAATTATGAATTCATGAGATTTTAATCTTCCCCGTTTTATGTCGTTCTCACATTGGACCACGTTCTAAATGTTAAAGCTGTAGACCTTCATAAATATCCGTTAGCATTGTAATGTATACCGAGAAAGTATGACATACACACATAACACACAAGGCAAACATTCTTCACAGACGTTGGCGGCGCAACGCGTACACTTTTTGAAAGCCGTTTTTCTCTCGAAATGAGGTCGCCGAAGTTCGGTGATACACAATCTCTTTTCTCGTAGCATTTTCGGCATAATATAAGCTACAGCAATAACTTTTATACCGATGGAAATGTCATGGGTTGCTCTTTAATATGATGTATATATCTTAATATCGTGGCTACCTGTTTTCAGCAAATAATCCCCCCCCCTTCTCCCGCCCCATACTTACTCAACTCCCTGGACACACCACTGTTTGCAAAAAAAATTTCCATGAGCACACCTGGAAATAAACTTATATTCTCTTCTTTGCCAACCTCGAGTGAAACATCGATATATTCTGCTTGAAAATATTTATGCGACGTGAGCCCCCCCCCCCCCCCCCCCCAGTGCAAAAAAGCTCAAGGAACAAATTGTGTACATAATAATCTGAAATCACTCTCCACGAAATGTACATCGTTTAATGTGTTTTGATTGTATAATGCCTACAAACATGGAAACTGTATCTGTACGATATTTTTGGCCTGTTTGCTTTGCCTTCCTTAAGGGATCGAATACGAAGATTTGTGTATATAAGTGCAATATATTGTTTGTATATGTAATACACTAAGGTAGCGGTAAAATAAGTTTAGAGTAAAATGTATTTTGTACGGTCTTTGGTTCGGTGAATAGTGTTTCTGTGAGACAAGACCGACTGGCCGTCTAGATTCTAGATATTTCTCAAAAATGCCAGCGCAAACTTGGCTTCAAGTCTGTGGTGTGCATCTAATTACAGATTATACTTGAAGCAACCTGACGAAAAAAAAGTACAAGCGATATGCTGAATGGGCCTTATTCACGAGTCCGCCATTTTAGAAAGTGAGGAAAATCTTCATTTACGAACTTACGGAGAGAAATGAAAGCAAGTACATTGCTAAATCAGGTCTGCTTATAGGGCCTATGGACTAATGTTAAATTTGCAATTAAACATTCCCTAATGTTTAAAGCCAGATACAAAAAAATAAAGTAAAATTAGGCTGCATAAATAGTCTGGCGCCATCCCATTTAACAGTTAATCATTTATGAAATACATTCCGGGAACACGACCAAAATGGCTACCTCGTGCATAAGGTCCATTACACAATCTTGTTTGGCAGTGTGTCAATTACGAAAGTGTAATTTTTCATCATTTACGTTTTTATTGATACACCGTATCAATTTCAGCGCTGTTATCTCAATCGGCCTTGGCTACCTTCATTGGCATTCTTGAGTGTGCTTCAAGGAGAGAAGATACACTTAACGAGGTGTTTACGTTGAATCGAATGTCCCATTTATATTCATGCGCACTTAGCTGCCGCGTAGTTCTGCAGCTCCATCGCAGTGCGATATATTAATGCATCAGTTGAAAGTCATCTCACGAGATATATCAGTGCGTAAGCACCATATCTTAAATATTTATGAATCCGTTGAAATGTCTCTTATAGATTTCCAAACACATTTCAAGAGTGATATTTTCATATTCCCTTGCTGTATAAAGTACACATTAATTAAATTACACACTTGATTTCTCGCGCCGCGGTCCATGTACAGCGTGAGATAAAGACCTGGCGCATATTTTTCCATCAAGAAAAGGTTGTACGTTTCTGACCGTAAAATGAAAGTGTAAAACAGCGTCTTAAATTGTTATTTATGCCTTAAAACCTAAGAGTTGTGCCCTTAACGATAAGGTTATAATACTTTGTTGCTCAATCAATGCTTTGGACCAGTTAGACGAATTCATACTTGCGGAGGCATCCGGTTATGGCAGATCACCGTGCGTATGCAACTGCTCATAACAGAATAGTCAGAGCAGTAAAGCTGGTACACTGTCTCCGTCACCACTTGGACCTTTTGTGACTGCAAGGGCGGATCCAGGGGGTCCAACGGGGGCCACCCCATCCCCACCCCACGCCCCCCAAAAAAATTGAATCCAATTGTTGTTTTGTTTAAGTGACGTCGCAATAAAGGCAGGCACTGCGTTATACACCATCATCTTTTCCTAAAAAAAATTGAACAAAGTGGTCAGAAATTGCCTCAGATTGCACCACAGAGCATCTAGAATCCCCCCCCCCAAAAAAAACGGGGCCTTCAAGCGGCCCCGAACCCCACACCGTAACTTTTTTGGACCCACTTTTTGGGGGAACCAAATATTCTCGACCCCCCCCCCAAGAAAATGTGATCGGTAGGTGATTTTCTATACCACCTTAATAATATAGCCATCTTCCCTATATCCTTCACTTCAGTTTCAGAAGAGTTGGCCACTGGTTATTGTACGTGTTGCAAAGTGACCACTTGTTCATAATGGCTATTTTTCTCCAGCCCCTGGGTGGTTCGTATGTCCAGCTTCTATCAAATTGATTTAAAAGAGTGCATACATCTTTATCGGTAACTCCCCGATTAGTATCTGTCTCAGTTTCGATATTCATAATTTGGGTTCATTGGAAACTGCGCTTAGTTGGCGGTGATTTTTATCTCCGTCAAAAAACGCTGGTGATCAGAAAAATAAAAGACAATGGATGCGTTCAACTATAATAAAATGTACAGGAATTATTTCTCATGTATGAACGTATCACTGTCTTGGGCTTTGAACTCCGAATTGAAATCTCATTTCAGTGTTTTTGCCTATGCACATTTTACAGAACAAAACGCCATTGAATCAAATCTCTTTTTTTTCCATGGCAAATGTCGTTTAATTTAAACCTGTTTGTCATTTCAAATGCTGAAACTATTTAGGAATATAAAAAAACGAACAGGCGTAATTACTTATATTTCCTTTTAATGGAACGATGATTATCACTGTGATTACTCAATAAGCAGTAAATTATGTTATATTTAAATATGAATAATAAAATTGTAATTGGAGTAAACTTTGAAATGGACTTTTTCAATTCATATAAAAAGTGTTTGTACTTTTGCTTTTGCGAGAGGCAATTTGTCTATGTCAATGAATCAACACATCTATGGAACGTGAATTTCAAATACTCCAAGTAGAAAAAAATCGGGAGTAATGAAAAAAAAAAAATTATGGGTGTTGACCAAGCATTCGGGTGTACGGACTTAGGAACTCAACTCAATGAGCCTATTACCAACTCCCATAGGACTCTTCTGTGGTCTCGGCAGTCCCGGCCCACCCACTTCCTTCCCTGTCCATCCATATAACCCGAGGGTCAGGCACCATGTAAAAAGGGAGGAACAAGGCGGCACCCTAAGCCCTGGCCCCCGAGTGGGTCAGTAAATGTCTTGAACCTGTGCGAAGATGCACAACCTGGACTTCGCGGACAGTCCAGGCATGCAGTGCTTACCGATTAAGCTAAGTTACTGTTGGTATGTTACGACGGGAAAATAAATCTCTTATAGTATAGTAAATGACTGACCGCGTGCGTTGAAAACAAAAAAGACATCCGAGGAGATTGGAACCGCAACTCTCGAAAACGCAACCCTTGCGAACCTGCCTATGAGATGGATGGAGTGGGTCTTGAAGCAACTAAGGAATTCACGTACCTGCATAAAAATCAAACATCATTTGGGATGCTAAAATCAGACGCAGCATGCTGTTACCCAGGCCACGAGAGTCCTCAACTTCATCAAACGAAATGTCTACATGAGCTCTAAAAACGTGAAGGAAAGGTTATATTTCACACTTGTCCGGCCACTCTTAGAATATGGTGTAGCAGCATGGAACCCTTATAAAATCAGGCATCAGTCTGCGATAGAGAAAATTCAGCGCAGAGCTGCACGCTTCGTTCATGGAGATAACACCAGACAGAGTAGTGTCTCAAACATGCTATCGTCTCTTGGATGGGAAAAGTTAACTGACAGAAGAGAAACCCTCTAGATGACTCAACTCTACAAGATCATCACTCACACCATTGACATTGATGCTTCAGACTATCTTCAACCAAAAATGCAGAGATCCAGGAGGGGGAACAACAATCAAACCAACATAGTACAAACATCCTCAACTGCATTCAAGAACTCATTTTTTCCAAGGACAATTAAATTATGGAATGACCTGCCCCAACACATCACTGACTCTTTGACGCACAAGACCTTTAGGGACAACTACTACAACCACATCATGACCGAGACCTAGGTACCGACACCTCCCCGTGACCTCCTAGTCAAGATCCCTAGAGGATGTTTCAGGAGGAAACCAACTAAGTACCAAGTACCAACCCGGGTCCCGCGATCTGTGGACCAAGGATTTAACCACTCGGCCATTTGGCTACCTTTCAGTTCCCAAACCAATGTGTCTTTACAGGCGGGAACACGTAGAGGATTGTTAGGTTCATCTGCTTTGGCACTATGGACAAAACAGAGACTGCATGTTGATGGATAATGAACCCACTTTCCTCGTCTTCTGAGCCCACTCTCCTCGTCTACTACAAATTGAACTCACTATCTGCGGCTTAGGATGTTTATTAACTGGGTAGCTTAGACTCATACGTTTATACCTGGGCAGAAGGACAACAATAATTAATTGGGTTTTTTTCACAAGGAATGGGTCGAATTATAAGTGTTTCGGCCTGATAAATCTTTCATTCCTGAACTCTAAAATTTAAGAACAACTTAACCCATTAAGGTCTTGAAGCTGCAGATTCGTTATTCAGTATCCCCACACGATCAATGCAATCATGTTTTTAATGATCTGTCATTCAAGCCTTTTTTCCCCAAAGGATCTTGGGTTTTTTCTTGCTTGCAAATCATAATTATATCACTGCAAGTCGTTTCGAAATGAACAATTACCACTTAGCATAAAACTCAACAACACTTCTATGGGCCTCAGCTCAGTGAGTCGGATTAATTATTAGAGATGACGCGTGTCATTTGTTCCCATTCATTTTGCTGAAGCAAGCGTACCATTCCTCTTTACCAAACAGCGCCATCTATTGATTTGTATCGAAGATATAATTTTTTCAACGATGACTGTTTTTCTTCACCCCTTTGACATGTACAACAACAAAAATGTAGTAAATCATCAGCAAAAAGTCAGTGACGGGTGCCGGGAGAAAGCAGAACACATAAACCGTGAGTTTAGAGGTCAATTAATTAAGTTTCCGGGAAAGTATCGCTCGTGCGGATTTTCGTCAGTGAGGGCGCCCGTGCAAGCGCTGTGTCTTCCTGAGATCTCTTGAACTCTCGAAACTTCATGAGTTTTCCTGAAGCTCTATTGGATCTTGAAATCGTAACACCTTGACATATTGTTAATTTACATCCTGAAGTCTACATATATTATCTTGAATTTTCTCGAGTCAATAAAAAGTCTTCTTTAGTCCTTTTGAATTCGTGAGTTTTCAAAAGTCCTCTTGAAATCTTGAAACCTCATAAGTTTTCCTAAAGCTCTTTTAAAATTTTGAAATCTTGTT